GTCACCAGCTGCTCTGAGCCTGAACCCTTGCAACCCTGCTGCTTTGCACTAGCTATGGGGAGTTCTACATTCTGAGTCTCAGTGCCCACAGAGAGCAGGTGTCAGCGCAGCCTCCTGGGCTGGTTGAGGACTTAATTCTAGATCTTTTCCACCAATAAATGTGTCCCATGAGTTCCAACCTATCACTGCCTCGTGTACAGTGCATTCTAATGAGGTTCTCTTGTCCTCAGCAGTTTCTCTCCACCCAAAACAAAGATGTCCCCTGCATGTGGAGGCTGCAGCAGAGTGCCACCAACAGCACATCTCTCTGCTCATAAAGCCAAAATGAGAATTGCACAACCCCGCAGGGCTGTTATTAGGACCAAGCGAAGTGATGCCTTCAGCCTGCTTGGCACAGTGCCTGGCACTCAGTAAAATCTCAGAAAGTGGCAGCTATGGCAACTGCTCCACAATGATCGAGGCCTGGCTGTATGCAGACTGACTCGTACTAGCCAGGGTCAGGCTCTTTCTCAGGACTCCTAGTCTATGCAGAAGATCTTTTGTGTGTGTGTGTGTGGTTTTTAAAGAGAGTACAAATTAGAATTAAAACAAAAAAATTACAAGGGATACAGAATTTCACTTGACAAGGTAATATGTCAAGTGATAGAATATCCTGGTATTTGTTGTGATACATAGTGTTGTCTTCCAACCAGTTATTCATATTACCAGGTATATACATGAAAACTTGAAGGAAAAAAAGAAAGAAATGTATAAGAAATTAAGAAGACAAAAAGGAGAAACAATTGAAAAAAGAAGGTGAAGCAAATTAAAGCATTATCTGCTTCTTTCCTTAGACCAGCAGAAATGCACAGTACAGTTGTCCAAACCATCTTGCTTACACACCTAGATAAATCTCTTCCCCGCCCCCCACTCCCTCTCCTGTCCTTCTCCTCAACTCAGTAACTCTTTCCTTTTGAATAAGTTCATTCCACCTTCCCAGTGTCTATTGTACCCTTCAGATTCCATTTTTCTCTTTCAGGTTCTCACACTAAGGAGACTATACAATGTTTGCACATGTGGGTCTGATTTATTTCACTTAAGAGTATGTTCTCTCTCTCTCTCTCTCTCTCTCTCTCTCTCTCTCTCTCTCTCTCTCTCTGTCGGGCCAGCCAGATAGCTCAGCAAACTAAGGGGCCTGCTTTGGCAGAGCACTGCCGGGATTTGATCCCTGGCTTGCCATGCTGGCCCCATCCTCAGGGTGTGCTGAGGCAGTGATTGAGACTGGGTGTGGTGGCACGTGCCTGTAATCCCAGCACTTGCAAGACTGAAAACAGGAGAATCACTATGAATCCAATCTACATAGTGAGACCCTATACATCCTGTTGACCCTGCCCAAATTGTTTTTTAAAAAAGAGCATGTTCTCTAGTTGTATCCATTTACTGATAAAAGACTCAAATTTATCCTGTTCTGCAGCTGAATAATACTCCATTATGTAAAAAATACCACATCTTATTTATCAGTTCCTCAGCCGATGGGCATCTGGGCTGCCTCCAGGATTTAGCTGTCACAAATTGCACCGCCATAAACATGGGTGCACGTTTATTGCTGTGGTATGAGGTTTGCAGTTCTTCTGGAAAAATACCCAGGAGGGGAATAGCTGGCTTGAGTGGGATCTCCAATCCTAGCTTTTTAAGGAATCTCCACACTGATTTCCATAGTGATTGTACCACCAACAGAGGAGAAGTGTTCTTTTTTCTCCACAACCTCACTAGCATGTGTTATTGACTGACATCCTTCTGGGGTGAGATGGAATCTCAGTGTCATTATAATCTGCACTTCTTGAATGGATCAAAGATTTAAATTTAAAACAGAAACACTAAATCTTGTGGAGGAAAATGTAGGTAGAACTCTTAAAGACAGGGGTAGGTAGAGAGCTCATGAACAAAAACCAAACTACATGGGAAATACTTCAAAGAATCAACAACTGGGAAATCTTATCTTTTTGAAAAGTTTCTGCACTTCAAAGCAAATCTCCAACAGAGTTAAAAGAAAAGCTACAAACTGGGAAAAAGTTATAGCTAACTATCCCTCCAACAAAGCCCTTCTATCTAGAACATATAAGCAATTTTAAAAAATAAGGTCCCCCAAATTCAAAGACCCAATCCAAAAATGGGCATCTGAGACGAATGTAAACTTCTCAGAGGAAGAAATACAAATGGCAAGTAAATATATGAAAAAATGTTCAACATCATTGGTCATGCAGAAGATCAATATTAAGGAGCCTATTAAATGTCACAGCCCTCGTGGGGTGGGGGACACCAGGGACAAGTCCTTGGCGCACAATCCCTGTTGAACGTCTTCATTCCTCAGGCAGTACCAAACTGCCTTTGCCCACATGTCCCATTCCCCGTAAAGCTTTTAGTGGCGGACCTTACATCGCTTATTTTCGTAAGCCTCATAACTAGCAAAATGCTGGCCCAGTAAGAGAAACTCCAGAATGGATACTGAGCGGTAGGCTAACCCGTAAGCTCAGGCTTCCATGGGGCTCTTCTGATTCTGGAGGACAGATGGCTTTCAGTTGAAACATGCTATTTTAGGGGATGGCATGTGCCTCTTAATTATCACTCAGTGAGAGGAACTTATCATGCTAATCAACCTACAGATGCTCCCGGAAGGACTTGCTTTTATAATAAAACAATCAGTATAAACAATGTTGACAATTTCAAGCCCAGAATATTTGCGACCCGAATAGTCACCTCCAGGCCCACCTTTCCTGTGGCTTCCACTGGCCAGTAGACATGCAAAGGTCCTGGGGAGGCCTAGGCACTTGGCTGAGGAGGAGCATATGGTTCCCGGGGTGAAGGAAATATGCCTCGCTTCTGGGTCTTTTCTCTGTTTTCATTCCCCAGGATACCAACGCACTCCTTGTTCCACAGGAACAGGAACATTCAGCCAACCCAAACTTACCTGGTTGAGAATAAAGCATGGCAGGTACAAAAGAGAAAGTACTAGGCCAAGCATAACAAGGTCCAGGTAGCTGGCTATTTTACAGAGAGCTTGACATCCAGCCTTTTAGCTCTGGGTCACAGGTTCAAATCCAGCCAAGCCGAGTCTGACAGAAAATCATTACCAACTCTGTGTCAGGCTGCTTGACAGATGGAAAATGAGTTCCTGTCTCCATCCAGCAGGCAAGTGTCCACGTCACACTTGGCACTAAGCAGCTTTCGACTCTGTGGAGACAGAGCAGAAATTGTGCGAAAGTTGCCCCCGGTCAGGCAGGGCTCTGCGGTCAAGCATCCCGGCCAACATGGGGGCCTGACAGCTCCCTTGCCTCCCCCTTTCACGAGCATTTTATTAATCTCCCTCTGAAGGCTTTGTTGGACAAGTGGTTTGAAGTAACAGAACAACAGAGAAAATTTGATTCTGCAGCACTGAAAGAAGTACAGCCAAAATCACCAGAGAAAGATACCCAAAGGAGATACTCTTGGCCCTCAACTAAGTGAAATCACTTGAATGGCTCAAAATAATCAGCATTTTAATAATAAGGGAAGATGATTTCAAGGGGATCTTTGGGGCCAGTTCTGTCTTTCTCTCCTCTCCTCAGGGCCCCACATGTAACTTGTCCCTCCTAGAGATGCCCAAATCCTAGAGTTGGACTTGCTGACTGCACCATGGTACAGCAGCTCTCCTGGGGGATCTGACTTTAGTTAATACAGTCGCTGTCCCAGACAGGCACTAGGGTAGAGCTGGGTAAGCAGAGCTTGGGCTTAGGCAATGTCTGGAAAGCACTAGAGAAGGGAGGGCCCCTCTGTTCCTGCCAGTCATAGCCTGGCCCAGGAGGATGCATCTCGGACCTCACATTGGCACCAGTAAAGCTCTGCTCATAGAAGCCTCAGTTCAGTAGAGTAGGACAGGGCAGGGCAGGGCAGGGCAGGGCAGGGCCAGGTTGGCTGGGTTGCTGAATATACGTCCACATGGAAGACTGCTATGTGGCAGGCTAGGCAGGCAGGACCCAGGGGCTTGCACCTTGAAGTTCTCTGGATGAGGAGCACCAGGGACAATTCTCTGTAGGCCAGTAATGGTGAACCTTCTAGAAATTTTAGTAAGAGTCAGGTGCAGCATGCTTACCATAGGTTCACCACCACTGCTCTAGGGCATTGTGCTAGTCAGGTTTCTGGTACTGTAACAAATACTGGAGACAATTCAATTTATAAAGAGGAAAGTTTTGTCTCACAGCTTTGGAGACTTCAGTCTGTGTTCCCTGAGGCCCACTGCTTTTGGTCCTGTGACAGCATATTAATCGTAGTCAGGGCATGTGACTGAGGAGGCTGTTCACATCACAGCATCCAGGAAGTGAAAAGGCAGACAGGACAGGACCAGGGTGCTACTACTCTTTTCAATACACCCCCAGTTACCTAACTTGCTCCCTTAGGTTCTGATTCCCATGAGTTCCACCTCCTCCCATAGTACTATGGGCTGTCAACCAAGCCGTTAGCACACAGGCTTTTGGAGGTTTATTCAAGCTTTGGCATCTGTGTTATTTTCACCTCTTCTGTCTTAAACCATTTAAGCCCACAATCTAAATGTATTTCAAGATTAGAAAGACCTCTTCCTCCCTTCCAAGGTGGACAGGCCCAGCAAACCCTCAGAAGAGCATCTACCCAACACCTGCAGATTGCTCTTCTAATCCATCTTAGTGATAGCTGCCCCCTGGCGCTGGACTGTTCTGGCAAACACAGCATGACTTGAGAAAGCTCCCTACTCTCACTCTGCTGCCTGTCTCCTGGTACCAGGGGGCCAGGTGGTGCTGTGAAATTTCAGCCTAGGTAGGCCCTGGAAAACTTTGTCAAAGAAATTGTCCATATTTTTAATTTTTTTACTCTTCCAGGGATTGCTAGAGAATATCCCCTCCTATGTTATCCAAGAAATTGATAGTTTCCCAGGACCTCTGAGCTCTGCACAGAGCAGCCCACAGCTAGTTGGTATCCCACCCCAAAGAACATACTGTCCAGAGACCCTTGTTGGTCAGCATGGAAGTGGCTGCCTCTCCTCTTCAGTTGGCCAAGGTCAACACATTCCAGAGGCCTGGCCCCTGCTAGAGTGCAGTAAGGATTTCTCCAATTCAAGCTGTAGGGAAGCTGGTAGAGGTATGCAATGGAATCTCCGGAGGGACTCCTGGGAGCAAACAGCTTCGCGCCATGCTTCAGTGCCAGGGGGACCGTTTCTGCTCTTCACCCTGGCCTTCCAGCTCTGGCTGTCAGGAGGGGAGCTAATGATCCTCTGGCCTGGGCTCACCTCTCACCTTCTCTAGATGAAATGGGCAAGGGAGGAACAGGGAGATCCCAGCAGCACCTGCGGCAGCGGCCCACAACTTCTTTCGCGCCTTTCTCGCATCCCGGATCCCCACCCCCACCCCAGATTTCTGAAGCAATCTAGCAAAAGAAGCCCCATTCGGGTTGTACATCCCCACTCCATTCCAGCACTCTGGCAGCCACTTGGAGCGATTATGTAGAGAACACCCTGGTCCTCTCTGGCGCTCTCACGGATTCCAGAAGCTCTACAGGGAGCTTCCCTGCTGGATCTGACTTTCTCCGGGTGGGGCAGCTCCTGGTTTGCTGCTGCTGCAGCTGAGGCCTTCCTTTCCCTGGTAGCTGGAGAAGCAGCCTCCGACTCATGTGCACTTTCCTGTCACCTCTCTGCTGCTGGGGCCTGCAGGCTGCAGAGGAGTTCGGCAGGGCCCAAATCTTCTCGGTTGGCCTCAGACCCAGAGCAAGGTGCCAGGGCAACTCCTAGACTCTCACACTTGCTCACGTGAGGGTGCCTGCAGACGCAGCAGCGCTAAAACCAGCCGCATGGCCGCCCTTCCAGAGACCGGACTGTGCAGCAGACCCGGCCTGGCTCCTGGGACAGCCAGATCCTCAGTCCTCAGAGAGGACAGAGAGAGGGTCTCCCCCTGCTGGCCGGGGCACGCCACTGCCGCCCTTCCTGACCCGGGCGCGACTCGCGGCTCCTGGTGTGGCTTCCTGCCCTGGCCGCGCTTCTGCAAGAACTAGGAAGGTAGCGAGCGGCTGCGAGGGCCAGCTCGACGCCGCAAACGCCGGCCTTCTGAGGATTGCGCAAAGCCTGGCCCGGACCTGGCTTGAGGCAAATGCTTCAGAAACCAGCCCTGCACCGAGGGAAGGATTTCCGGCCCCAGCCCCGGCGGTGCGCCCGGCTGAGCACTGCGGCCCAAGCTCCTGGGGTGCACTGGGGCCCCCACACGCGGGATGGTGCAGCCTGTCCAGAGGGGAGCCCCGAGTGCTGTGCGTTCAGTGGCCTCCAGAAATAGGTTTCGTTGGCTAAAAAGCAGCTCTCACTCATCCGCTGACTCTCAGCTCTTCACTGAGGGGGAAACCTGAGATGTAAGATCTCCCCCCAGACGCACTTCCCCTACAGTGAATGCACCAGAGTTACTTTCCTTGGGGGTGAAAAACAAATGACAATATATATTGCAAATAAAGGGCCTGCTTCCCCTGCCCAGGAGGGCTGGCCAGCCCCGGCTGCACAAGCCGCCCGCGCTTCCCCAGCACCAGGTGCGGTGGCCGGTCCACACTCAGCACACGCGGAGCGACCAGAGCTCCAGGCTGCTTGGAGCCCTATTTTGAATCGTCTGGCGCCCGGCCGGCCCTCCGACCTTTCCTGGCTCGCTCCCGAGGATTTCTGGCCTCGGCTACCTCGGGAGAGAAGGGCGGAGGCTGAGGAGGCCCCCATACCCAGAGACCACAGCCCCTGCCCCGGGGAGGGCCTCGCCCCGGCGGGTGTCCGGGCGCGGGCGGCGCGCACAATGCACAAGGACGAGGACTCCCCTGCGTCCCGGCTCAGCTGAGCTTCTGAAGGGTGAGGCAAGGCTCCAAGCGAAGGCAGAGCGCGCCCTGCGATTTCCTGGGCTCTTTTCTGTTTGGGTTTTCTTTTCCCTTTCCTTTCTTTCCTTTTTTCAAAAGTACCACGTCCTAGGCAGAGCAATAAAATACCTTTATAAAGATTTTCCAAGGCTGCCCTCTAGTGGAGAGCTGGCGGCAGTTAGCTCCGATTCCAAACTTAAAAAAATCATCAGCTGGGGGGAGACGGTGCACGTGCTCGGAAAGCTCAGTACGCCTCCCCCCTCCCCCACCCCCCGCTCCAGTCCCCCCAGCGTCCCAGGACTTGCCTGGAAATGACGGCTGCCTGAAGCCCCTCCAAAGAACCCGTGCTTTCCCGCTGGGACTGGAAACCACAGAGCCGTGGGTTCGATATTTCAAAGCTGCTGGGGTGAGGAAGCGCGCCGGTTGCGTTCCGAGGCTGTGCACGGGTGACTGGCCGAGGGCTTTTATTTTGCCTGGGGAAGGAGCCAAGGCCGCGAGAGCGTCCAGCTCAAAGGCCACACACGCTGCTGGGTCCCCACCTTGGAGGATGTGGGACAATGAGTCATTTGTGCCTCTTCCTGGTTCTCCCCGGCCAAGGTCGGCTTTCCCACTGGAACCCAGAGGCTTGGCCGAGCGCCCGCGCTGTCTGGAGCCTTTTTGGGCAGAGGAGGCCGGGGAGAGCGCACCCCACCCCGCGCCCCAAACCCCACTCGGGCTCTGAAGCAGCCCTTGTCCCGTCTTAAAACCCCTTTCACCCTGCTCAGCTTGGCAGCCAGGGTCTCCTGGCGGAGGCCTGAGGAAGTGGGCCGTCCTGCTGTAGTAAGCTTCCCAGGCAGAACTCTGGGAGAGGATGACCCTGCACTCCCTTTCTGTGAGCTTTCCAAAGAGGGCTCCTTCTTCATCTGCGTGGGCCGGTTGCGTTGTCTGTGCACACCACTGCTCCTTCTAGCTGCAATGAAACAGCTGCCATTCACCATTCGTCAGATGGACAAACACGTTGTGAGCCGCGACTCCGCAGCCAGCGCTGCTCCTGCTGCTGATCGCCAAGACAGACAAGGTCCCTGATCTCATGGAAATTACTGTCTGGCGAGGAGACAGGGTACAGGAGTAAATATATCACATCAAGGGCTCTGAAGGAAACGAACAGAATATAATAAACAGCAGTACTTCCATGAAGTAACCAAGGGCAGGCCTTACTCTGAAGGTTGCATTAAAGTACCTACTATGTGCCAGGTAGTGTTTGTGTCTGGGGCTAAGGATACAAAGATACAGAAAATGCAGGCTATGCTTTCAGAGTTTGGACCCATGGTGAAATACTGATTC